ACACCACCACACCGCCGCACCATCACACTACTTACCCATGGGGCAAAAGTTTCTGTACAGTCTTCCCCTCCATTGCTTGATAGACCCACAATCCTGTTTTAAAATTTTACATATTTTTCAATAAGTATTAAAATTTGGGGGCGAACCTGTTCTCGCTTTCTCCGTGTAGAGGACAGCATACTGCAGCCTTCTCCACTGTGATGACGCACCGCAGCCTTCTCCATCACACCACCACACCATTGGAGGAATTATTGTTCCCTTCAATGTTGGGTGAAATGACTAAGATGGTGAGTTGGTGAAGATGGTGATGGTGAGTTAATTAATGTTTAATTGATGAATCAAGACGGTGGAATGTTCTATGATCGGCAGCACATATTTTAAGCAACATTTCATCGTACATGGAATTTTGGCTTAACGACTGTTGGCAGAAACAAACTACCAGCACACTTGGACCGCCTTTCTAACTTCTTACAGCCAATGAGGTTAGGTTAGGTCCGCTCAGGTTTGGTTTGATTGGCGAAATTTTGCAACTTGTGTATGTTAGGCCTGAAGAGGTTAGGCTGGAAGATGTTTGGTCATGTGCAATATGGGCATGTTTACCTTCAGCAAGCTAATTTTGTGGCTGTGGACATCCCGCGCTATAGCTTTGAGCACTTGACTTCATAGGCCGTTATGCACTCTAGCGTTCTTACCTACGGAAAGAAATATGGAATAAGTGTGAAGTTTGGCAAAGCTGGCCTCCGACATGCACCCCTCACCACATCACACCACCACACCACCACCACCACACCACCACACCACCACACCACCACACCTGTCTCTTATACACATCTAGATGTGTATAAGAGACAGCCACACCACCACACCACCACACCACCACACCACCACACCACCACCACCGCATTAAGAAGATTGCTGGACCAGAAGAAGGATGATGCAAAATGGCGCCGACGCTCCCGAAACAACAAATTCGCGAGTGAGAAATGGTTCTGGAAATGGTTCATGTGTCGAGGCTGCCGCTGGAAATGATCTTGGAAATGTTCATGTGTCGAGGCTGCCGCTAGAAATGATCTTGGAAATGTACAGCCGCCATGAAAGCGTTTGTAAACCAAACATAACTAATGAATGTCTCAAGGCTTCCTAGGACTCGGGGTAGAAACAAGGAACCTGGAGGCTTCGATTTCTGATCTAAATTTTCTGGTCTTAATTTTCTGGTATTAATTTTCTGGTATTAATTTTCTGGTATTAATTAACGACGATTTTTGATCTTAATTAACCAGCAAATGAAGTTTTGTAATGCATGTAATAAAATCTTGGTTAGTACACACCCATACAATATCCGTGTATTTGGACGTCAAAATAATGATTAATATATTAATAGGACATATAAATATTTATTTAATTTCGAAAACTCAACAACAGCTATGCAAGGAATTGATTTATGCAGATTTCTCATTCCACTAAGCATTGTTATTTATTCATTAAACTGTAAAAGCTAATTCTAATTATGATTAATCAAACTATTAAAGACACAAACATCTGCCAGATAATAGAATAAAAAGCTGTTACTGTATTGCTAATCGGAGACTAAACGATGGTGATTTTTTCACGTTGTAGTGAAGCAAAAAATATATAGTGCAGCCTCATTATAATGAGAACCATCACTATATTCTCATAATTTACATTCATAAACAGGCGCGGAAGACTCCTATTGTAATAAAATATTGAATCTTACATTAGATTAGTAGCTACATCAACATTGAAATAATTAGCTAAGAAGAATGTAACTAGGCAACACGAATAATAATATTAGAGAAGAAATTATCATATATTCAGTTGAATAAGTTGTTATTATCAATATGTTATTTATCTTTCCTTTATACTTAAATATTAAAATATCATGTAACATCATATGAGTCAACAATATATTGAAAAAATATGTTGTCATATTGTCTTAAGATAAGATAATATGACAATTGATTGATTATATATGATTATATGATTGATATATGATTATCTTATCTTAAGATAAGATAATATGACAGATAATAATATTAATAATAATTATACTTATTATTAAATTATTGTTATAATTATTAATTTATTAATTAAAATATAGATAATAATATTAAGATAGTGTCCCGCCTTATCATCAATATATTAAACTATATACTAGATTCTGTGAAGATCCCTCGTAAGTTCCCTCATTTTGTTCTATTCAGTTCACGACTTTTGACACTGCAGTTATTCAAAATATACATGAATGAAACTTATAACGAAATAAGAGTACTCATCAATATTAGCACGGAACAGCTAAAAACTATTAAGCCGTGACAGCATTGAACGTACACTATAAAATCATAGCAATACTCATAACATCTTCCTAAATCATTGTATCATTTTAAACAACCAGCTTAATTTCTTGATCTAGTATGGATATATACTGTATGTTATATTTTTCATTGAATAGATTCACATTACAGATTTTCTGTCAAATTTCTGGATGATAATCGAACCTGAATTGTTCGGTTTAATATTAATATATTCATACTGCAAATTTCCTACTTGATTGTTTATGAATATCGATACCTACATTTAATATAGTAGATAAATAAAAATTTCATCGCTCATTTTGTTAGAATAGTTTACAAGTATTTTTCAATTCATTTTTCAATAGGGACTATATAATAAATCTTCCTATTAATCCGTTATAGCCCCAAACTCCATATTCGAGCAACTAACTCCATATTCGAGCCCCAAGCTCCACGTGTGAGCCCCAAGCTCCACGTGTGAGCACCAAACTCCATATTCGAGCCCCAAGCTCCATCACGAACCCCAAACTCCATATTCGATCTCCAGGCCTCCAATCTCCTTCCTCTAAGCAGCCCCAAACTCCATATTCGAGCCCCAAGCTCCACGTATTAACCCCAAACTCCATATTCGAGCCCCAAACTCCATGTTCGAGCTCCAGACCTCCAATCTCCTTCCTCTAAGCAGCTTCCTCAAACGAGCGCCAAATCGCGGCAAATCCATCGCTGTAATTAGAGCGTCGACACGGACGGATCTGTGTAAACTCCCCACCACGGGTGTCGGGGACAGCCCCCTAGGGGGAAGAGATGTGCTTACGAACGAGGGGCTGGCTGATTTGAGGATTGCCTGATCCAGAGGGGAATGTGGTTTGAGGATTGCCTGATCCCGAGGGGAATGTGGTTTGAGGATTGCCTGATCCCGAGGGGAATGTGGTTTGAGGATTGACTGATCCCGAGGGGAATGTGGTTTGAGGATTGCCTGATCCCGAGGGGAGTGTGGTTTGGGATTGACTGATCCCGATCGGGGGAGTGTGGTTTAGGGATTGACTGATCCAGAGGGGAGTGTGGTTTGGGGATTGCCTGATCCTGAAGGGAGTGTAGTTTTAGGATGACTAACTATGAGGGGAGTGCAGTTTGGAATTGACTGATCCGAAAAACGTGTGGTTTCGGGATTAACTGATTATGAGGATAGGGCGATTTAGGATTGACTGATCCGATGGGAGTGTGATTTTGAGATTGACTGATCTCGAGGCGAGTGTGGCTTGAGGATTGACTGATAATGAGTGAAGGGCGATTTGGGATTGACTGATCAGGAGAAATGTGTGGTTTTTGGATTACCTGATCCCAATTGGAGTGTGATTTGGAGATTGATTGATCCCTAGAGGAAGGGAGGGAAATTTTGGATTGACTGATCCAGAAAAATGTGTGGTTTGGGGATTAACTTATCTTGAGGGAGTGTTGTTTGGGGATTGACTGATCCCGAGGTACAAATCTGTAGGTAGACTGGGTCCGAATGCAAGGATATCATGTTTCTGAGATTAGACGACCAAGAAGTTTTCGTGAAAAGTGTTACTTACAAATGTTCCCGTCAAGTTGATCTGGGAATCAAGTGTTTCCCAGAGGAAAGTCACTGAAATGAATTTCATACAGAAAAAGCTCGGAGAATTGAATGTTCCTTTCTGGACGGTCGGAAAACTAAATGTTTTCTGTAAAAGATCGGAAATTAAATTTTTCCGGATTGAGTGCGGGGAATGAAATGTTCTCCTATGATCTAAATAATTATCAGGAGGGTTGACTGTTGTTTTGTTTGAAGTCAAGGGGTTCAGCAGCACGTACATGAATTAGCTTTGCACTTACCTGTAAATTGTTTGATTCCGACTAATGAAATAAATAGCGGTATAGTTTGTGCCTGACAAATGGTAATTTATCTTGCGAATTTAGACACTGAAGAAACGGAAATTCTTACAACATGAGACTTAATTTTTGTTGTTTGATGTGTGCTGCGTTTTCTTGAAAGCGTTGTCGAAAATGATATTGCATGATAAAGCTATAAATACGCGAAGGAATACCTCAATATTAGAGAAAAATAATTGTGGTCCAAAATTTACACACCAATTGTCAAGGTATTTAAGATACACGATAATTAATATCTAGGGAAAATCGAGAGTGTTTTAGGTTTACGCAAGAAACAAAAGTGCATGTTACATTTCGACGTACAACAATAATTCAAGAAAACTTGACTCCAAGAAGCGATGTTGATAGTGCAGAACAGGGTTACCAGACGGTCTTTTTCGGACAAATTCTGCGATTTAGTTCTATTTAATTGTTTTGGCCGGCTAAAACTTATGATAAGGGTATTTCCTAATTAAATTTTAAAAACTGCACAAAATTACATTTTTCCATCGGAACCTACAAATATACTAGTATATTTTAAGTTATATGCCGTTTTTTGGCCATTTTTGTTCACGGACTTGGCCATTTTAGAGCATTTTTTCATCTATGGAAAAAATGCACTATTGTGCTCGCCATGTCCGTCCGTCTGTCCGTCTGTCCGTCCGTTCGTCTGTCCGTCCGTGACTCCACGTTGTTGTCGACGAGAAAATACTCTCTGTCACTCACTGCAGTGAGTACTGAGTTATATTTTAGGCCATTTGGCAACCCTGGTGCAGAATTAAGGTTCAGTTTACTCACCAGCCATGCCGGGTTGACCACTGCGAGGTAGGGTTGTGATGGAGAAGTCTGAGGCGGTCGTACGCAGGTTCACTTCTTGGATTCCCACTCGGACATTCACAACTGGAATTGATATTCCCATTCCCAGTCGCTGACGCCACGTCAACGTCGCAAGGTTTTACGTTATTTCTGGAGCCATCAATGGCAGGATTAACTTCCGATGCGTTATTCATATCAGATACATTGTTTATTTCTGAGACGTTCGTAACGTTATTGATATCTGACACGTTATTGACATCTGACACGGGATTTATATCTGGAACGCTTGTGACGATATCGGAAACGTTGTTGACGTCATTGGCCGTTATTGGAGTGCTGTTGGTATTATTGTTGTTACAAGGCATTGTGTTGGTGACGCTGTTGTTGTTACTGTTGTTGTTGGATGATTGCGGTGACTCAGGATTGCTGGAACCTTCCTTGCTCGGCACGAGATTCCTGAGCACGCGGTTGATGGAAGAAACCTGCGGCAGACAAATGAAAATTATACGTTTAATTTTTGCGCTTGATTTAATTCAAATTAATAATTAGGCTAAAATTTTTAATTAATTAAACTGACTTGAATTTGTATTACTCAAGATGCCACTCATGGTGCCACTCACAATATTACTTAATATGCCACTCAAGATGCCACATATGATGTCACTCGTGGAGCCACTCACTAACTTTTAGCGGTTAGACCAGAAATTTCATTCTTTCAGTCAAACCAGCAAACAAAACTGAACCTAAGCTAACTATCATCATAAATTTTGATGTCAAATTTATTTTCGAATATCTTGGTTTTTAATCAAAACTTTCAAAAAGAGCCGAACTCCGCAGATCGTCTGTGATCAGCCAGCAATGCTTTCGTTTAGACGGCATCTTTTATCTTTTTTTTTGCTGAAGTTGCAATATCTCCCAACAATTCTTACAATTTTTGCAATCAAATAGAGAATTTTTCCAATCAAATCCCCAATTTTTTCAATCAAATCGCCAATTTTTCCAATCAAATCGACAATTTTTTCAATCAAATTGCCAATTTTTCCACTTAAATCGACAATTTTTCCAATCAAATCGCCAATTTTTCAATCAAATCGCCAATTTTTCCAATCAAATTGCCAATTTTTTCAATCAAATCGCCAATTTTTCAATCAAACCGCCAATTTTTCCAATCAAATCGCCAATTTTTCCACTTAAAGCGCCAATTTTTCCAATCAAATCGCTGGCCGCGGTTTGACGTGAAGCCAATAAGCAAAGTTGCGATCAAAAGAAACGGCGTCTGATGAGACGGTCGCCGAGCTTACGAGCGTCTTATTAAAAACTCCACGCATGATGTGCGTACAATTTGATGCGCACGCATGATGTGCGTATGATTTGATACGTCTACATGTATCGCGCATTAAAGGTTCGCCGCAAACCGTTTAACGGTCATGCAGACTGGAAGATTTGGCTGGAAGGGCTTGGCTGGAAGATTTGGCTAGATGGGTTTGACTGGAAGGGTTTGGCTGGAAGGGTTTGACTGAAAGATTTGGCTAGAAGAGTTTGGCTGGAGGGTTTTACTGGAAGGGTTTGGCTGGAAGGGTTTAGCTGGAAGGGTTTGACTGAAAAAGATTTGGCTAGAAAGGTTTGACTGGAAGAGTTTGGCTGGAAGGGTTTGACTGAAAAAGATTTGGCTAGAAGGGTTTGACTGGAAGAGTTTGGCTGGAAGGGTTTGGCTGGAATGGTTTGACTGAAAGATTTGGGTAGAAGAGTTTTGCTGGAAGGGTTTGACTGAAAGATTTGGCTAGAAGAGTTTGGCTGGAAGGGTTTGACTGAAAGATTTGGCTAGAAGAGTTTGGCTGGAGGGTTTTACTGGAAGGGTTTGGCTGGAGGAATTTGGCTGGAAGGGCTTGGCTGGAAGATTTGGCTAGAAGAGTTTGGCTGGAAGGGTTTGACTGAAAGATTTGGCTAGAAGTGTTTGGCTAGAAGAGTTTGGCTGGAAGGGTTTGACTGAAAGATTTGGCTAGAAGAGGTTGGCTGGAAAAGTTTGGCTGGAAGGGTTTGACTGAAAGGTTTGGCTAGAAGAGTTTGGCTGAAAGGGTTTGACTGAAAGATTTGGCTGGACGAGTTTGGCTGAAAGGGTTTGACTGGAAAAGTTTGGCTGGATCGGTTTGACTGAAAGAGTTTGGCTGGAAGGGTTTGGCTGGAAGGGTTTGGCTGGAAGAGTTGGGCTGGAAGGGTTTGACTGTACGATTTTGAGTGACAATGGATTGACTGGACAGTTTTACAAGCACGGTTTGACCGGACGGCTTTGATTGGAAAGATTCGATTGTACGTTTATATGTGGCAGTTTTGCCTTCATGTTTCTATTGGACGGTTTGACTGTACGGTTTTTCTTTGTCTGTTTTTTTGAAAGTATTCGGTTTTGTGGAGACTGAGATCAAAGTGTTGTCGATGATTACTTTTTTCTCCAAGCTTTTGGTGAAAATTTTTTTGAAGACTGAACAGTCATTCTAACGGATTGATATTTTTAGGTGGATATTTCCTAAAATGATTGTTCAGTCTACTTTTAGATTTTTTCTTAGTGGATAACATTTCTATTGCCTCATATATATAAGGATCGTGTTCCTTCTAGCCTCTAAATGAATAGCAGTGAAGGTACATTAGAGCACATTTTCTTGCCGGTTCTGATAGATTATTTTGTGTCACATCTCCAAAACATGAACTCCTATGAGCGACACTGAATAATGATTTTATTGTGTTTTATTAAATACTGGACAATATTTATCGAATGTCTACCTAATTTTATTTGCTGCATCGTTCACCAGGAATATTTATTGCATCCTTTACCTGTAATATTTACTGTATCATTGCAGTAAATATCCCTTCTTTAAATATATTTGCTTTATCTCTTAAAAATATTATATACTACTTGGCTTGCAAAAATCATTTATTGCATCTTTTCTTTTACAAGCATTATCGACTATGTCTGTTACAATATATTTTTCAGCGTATGTTTTAAATACATATTTACTGCATCTTTTACGAGGAATATTTTTTTGATCACTTTATAATTGTTAATCATTTCGCGTATTATATAAAATTATTATAATATTATAAAATTATGCCTTATATATAAAATCATTTAATTATTTGGAATCATTTCAATATTTTTGTCGCGTCAATATTAATATCATAGATCGTAGTCAGTACATCAAATAAGTTCAAAATCAATATAAATATGAAGCACGCGTTTGATGTTCCCACAGCAGCAGCGACCTCGCGTCTTGGAATGCGCGTCAAACCGGGAATGGGAATTTGCTCTCGGGAACTCCTAAATTACATGACCGAACGGCTAGCAGCTATTCCTAGTTATTAATCTTGGTTCCCATGTTTACTTATTAGTTATTTACTCATGTTCCCATGTTTACTTATTAGTTATTTACTCCTGTTCCCATGTTTACTTATTAGTTATTTACTCCTGTTCCCATGTTTACTTATTAGTTATTTACCCCTGTTCCATGTTTACTTATTAGTTATTTACCCCTGTTCCATGTTTACTTACTAGTTATTTACCCCTGTTACCATGTTTAGTTATTAGTTATTTACTCCTGTTCCCATGTTTACCAATAATTTGTTAGCAGGTATTTCATAAATGATAAATCTCACCACCACGAAACCTATCTTAGTTACAAATTTACTTACTTACTTCAATTTTTTTTATTTTCCACATGATTAACATTTTTTTTACCGTTGAATTAAAACTTTTATGGTAATTCTACTATATATTTTCCTACGCGAAAGAAAAAAGGTTATTATTTTCAAACTAAATTTATATTCCCTTTGCGAGCCGCTATAGGTACTAAAAGCCGCTGAATATTAAAATATTCAAGAAACACGATAAATTGAGCACACAAATTTAAATCCATGTAATAAAATTATTTCTACTTAGAACCGGGATAATAAATATATTTCTGTTTTTACCCGAGTTAATAATAAGAGACTTGGATTGTATATATACCTCTTAATTAGTGTATGTAAATATAGTGTTCGGCAACACTATATTTGTCATCTCACTATACACTTGTCATCTCACTGTACACTTGTCATCTCACTATAAACTTGGCNTTTGTTGCCATTTTATCCAATTCTTTAGCCATTTCAACGTCTGTATTTTGTTGCCATTTTATCCAATTCTTTAGCCATTTCAACGTCTGTATTTTGTTGCCATTTTATCCAATTCTTTAGCCATTTCAACGTCTGTATTTTGTTGCCATTTTATCCAATTCTTTAGCCATTTCAACGTCTGTATTTTGTTGCCATTTTATCCAATTCTTTAGCCATTTCAACGTCTGTATTTTGTTGCCATTTTATCCAATTCTTTAGCCATTTCAACGTCTGTATTTTGTTGCCATTTTATCCAATTCTTTAGCCATTTCAACGTCTGTATTTTGTTGCCATTTTATCCAATTCTTTAGCCATTTCAACGTCTGTATTTTGTTGCCATTTTATCCAATTCTTTAGCCATTTCAACGTCTGTATTTTGTTGCCATTTTATCCAATTCTTTAGCCATTTCAACGTCTGTATTTTGTTGCCATTTTATCCAATTCTTTAGCCATTTCAACGTCTGTATTTTGTTGCCATTTTATCCAATTCTTTAGCCATTTCAACGTCTGTATTTTGTTGCCATTTTATCCAATTCTTTAGCCATTTCAACGTCTGTATTTTGTTGCCATTCAGCGGCGGATTTAATGCCGTCCAATAGACAGGATTTGTGTCGGCATCTTCAGAAGCCACTTAAATCCTACCGAGGACTTGTTAAGGGGGATTAGGACTGGACTTAGTAACCCGATCCTAAGGAGCTGCCGTCTGTGGGTACAGTCGGCATCAATTACTGCTTTCCAGCAACATTAATTGGGGTACAGTCGGAAACAACAATATAGGTACAGTCAGCGACTGTTATTGGGATAAAATAGGCAACAATAATTGGTACATTCAGCGACTGTTAATGCGATAAAGAGGGCCACAATGAATGGGGTACAGTCAGCAACAATAATTGGGATAAAGTAAAGTACAATATTTGGGTACAGTCAGGAATTGTCAGTGGAATACAAACAACAACGATAATCATTGTACATTCGGCAGCCATAATTGTGTTCTGGGCAGCAGGAGGTTTTACTCAACCTCGGACGTCATGCTTGCGTACCATTTTTCACCATCTTTGTCACTAAGTTCCTCAAAGGCTAACTTAAAACACCACAACAGCGAATAAATCCGCTCATCACTCACGCTGGGTAGGTTGTGTGCATCACACTCATCACTCACGCTGGGTATGTTATGAGCACCACACTCATCACTCACGCTGGGTATGGTGTCCGCACCACACACGGCCTCGGACATAAGTCTGTCCCTGATCATCACACTCATCACTCACGCTGGGTATGGTGTCCGCACCACACACGGCCTCGGACATAAGTCTGTCCCTGATCATCACACTCATCACTCACGCTGGGTATGGTGTCCGCACCACACACGGCCTCGGACATAAGTCTGTCCCGGATCTCCCAGGCGAAGATGGACGGACACTCGCGCTTGAACTGCGATATTTTGGCCACCACTTCGGCGGTGGCCACGCGTGGCTTGCTGCCACCGATGGCCCGCGGCCTGATGCTGCCCGTCTCGTAGTACCTGGGGGGGAGAGGGAGGGGATGGTTAATAGTTGGTTGTTAATAATTAGCAGGAGCTAGTTAATTAATAGTTGGTTGTTAATAATTAGTAGTTGGTTGTGGAGTTAGATGCTTAGTTTAAAGGCAGTTGAAATAAGCATTATAGACAGGAAGGGGAGGTGGAAGGAAGGGGAGGGGAGGTGGAAGGACTAGTTTGAAGGTGGTTCGTGGGTTAGATTGTTAGTTAACACCAGTTAAAGTAGGTGTTCTAGTCATAAGATAGTCAATTTTGAATAGTTTAATGATAATTCATGTTTAGTGTAACAGTCAGTCAGTTTTAGCTGTTATAGCATAGTTTGAAGGGTAATTAGTGGTAGGTGCATGGGTTAGCTAATTGTAGGCAATTAAATTGAAAGTTCTTAAGTAATTTGTAGATGTTGAATAATAATTAATTCATCCGCAGCTGAGGTGGATGCTTTTGGTTGCTTATTAATTTCAAAGTTTCGAAATATCGTTTGACTTCAAATTTCCTAATATAGAATTTGCAATGACGTCGTAGTGCTGGTTAGCGACCTGCACTAACCTGCCGAGTATCTTGGATACGCAGCCGTTGGAGACCTGCAGTATGCGCGAGATATCGCACGGACGCGCGCCGGAGTGCGCGAGTTCGATGATCTTCTGGCGCGTGGTGTCCGGCAGCGGCCGCCCCGACACGAACACGCCGCCCAGCTGGTTAACTCCACTGTGACCTGTAGGGCAGGTTAGCAGGTTAGTGAGGCTGTGACCTGTAGGGCAGGTTAGCAGGTTAGTGAGGTTATGACCTGTAGGCAGGTTAGCAGGTTAGTGAGGCTGTGACCTGTAGGGCAGGTTAGCAGGTTAGTGAGGTTATGACCTGTAGTGTAGTAGTTTAAATAACTAGATCACTTGCTTTGGTGAGGATCACTTACTTTGCCACAACACAACTTCTGCGTTAGTACACGTACGTAGCGGCGTTAGTACACGTTCAGGCCGATTTCTCGTCCGTAATTTTTGAGTTTAAATTAAAACTTCTTCAGTGAATAGTTCACGGAATTACAAACAATTTTTGATAGTGCGACCTCTGCACGATAGTCGTAGTACTTCCGACACCCCAAGTACTACGCAATACTTAGATAGTCGTAATACTTACAACACCGCAGGTACTACGTAATACTTTGAGGTACTACGTAATACGCAGGTACTACGTAATACTACGTAATACTTAATACTTTCCAACACACGCACTATCACTTATTTGTAATCGATAACTGGGAATAATTTTAAAATATATATCTCATATATACTTGAATTTTTCAAGTCTGCATGAATGTCATATTGAAAAAATGCTAATAGAAAAAAACCAACACCAGAAAAACCAACACCAGGGGCCACGGCTATAAGCTAAAAAAATTGCGCTGCAACTTCTCCACGCGACAAAATTTCTTCTCGCTTCGAATCACCGACATGTGGAACAGCCTCCCCGATGACATCGTTGGCGCTCCAAGTATGAACGCGTTCAAGAACAGACTAGATAAAGCCTGTCTCTTATACACATCTAGATGTGTATAAGAGACAGGTTTAGATCTATGAACAAGGCACGAAATGGAAAAGAATCGGCGACAGGCCACATCAGGCCTACACTGCAGCGCCGACATCACTATGTTATGTTATGTAATAGAAAACCTGCTTCAATGGGTTTTAATACATTTTCTATGGCGACTGCCAGAATAATGATGAGAAAATCTGTTGATATGCTATTTTAAAAAACCCGAGGGGCAGCAGACCGCATTGGCGACCAGCTGTTCTTAATGAATGCATTGAACCGCGGGGGGAAGTTGGGGGTGAGGGGAGCTAGCTTAGGGGAATAGAGAGAAGGTGAGGGGAACCTAGTGAACCTGAAACTAGGTGACACATATAAATGAGGAGAGGGGAATGAAATTGGAACCTTGGGCTGGGTGAGAAAAGGAGATGTGGATTGCATTGTCGAAATGAGTTCTTATTTGTGCGCGGCATTCAGTGTGATGTTGTGTCACCACAACAAAGGTGGGTCATCACAACAACAAGGCTGGGTCATCACAACAAAAAGGCTGGTCACCACAACAACAAGGCTGGGTCATCACAACAACAAGGCTGGGTCATCACAACAACAAGGCTGGTCATCACAACAACAAGGCTGGGTCATCACAACAACAAGGCTGGGTCATCACAACAACAAGGCAGGGTCATCACGACAACAAGGCTGGGTCATCACGACAACAAGGCTGGGTCACCACAACAACAAGGCTGGGTCATCACAACAACAATATTGCCACTTCACCACTATGAAACAAAGCTAATAACATCTTTAAATGACGGCAACCAGTCAATGATAACAACAATATCGTCTCTAATAACGTCAACAACAACAACGTCTCTAATAACGTCAACAACAACAACGTCTCTAATAACGTCAGCAATAACGTCTCTAATAACGTCAACCACCCCAACAACAACAACGTCTCTAATAACGACAACAACAACGTCTCTAATAACATCAACAACAACGTCTCTAATTACGTCAACCAACCCAACGACAACAACGTCTCTAATAACATCAACAACAACGTCTCTAATTACGTCAACCAACCCAACGACAACAACGTCTCTAATAACATCAACAACAACGTCTCTAATTACGTCAACCAACCCAACGACAACAACGTCTCTAATAACATCAACAACAACGTCTCTAATTACGTCAACCAACCCAACGACAACAACGTCTCTAATAACGTCAACAACAACAACGTCTCTAATAACGTCAACACCAACAGCGTATCTAATAACGTCAACAACAACATCGTTGTCCCGCAGGAATGCACTATGGCCCACAGAAGCAATCTATATCATCAATTATCACCGCAAGGTTAACTCAACTATTTGCAGGAGAAGATAACAAGCATTCACATATGAACGAATGCTACACCAGCCAGGAGATATACGTGTTTTTATCAATTATTGTTAATTATAAAATATAAAAATTAAGTAAAATAGTTTCTACTGAATTATTGAAAAATTGTGGAGCCGGGAAAGCTCAAACAAATAAAACGTGATTCAATATTATAGAAAATTATTTATAGGCATGTTACAGTAAAATTCTAAATAATATGTAAGAAATATTTTCAGTGCATGAATGTAAAGTAAGTACTGGATTAAATTACTGGCGTGTCAAATTGTCCCTAGGGACAAATGAAAGTGTCCAATGGAAAAATGTGAACAAATAACATTAACTTGACTTATATTTTTCATATATCCTGTATTGTGTCTAGCTTAAGAACACTAGGTACTCCAGGTATTTGGTACTCTAGAGTACCTTGGTCACTAGGAACTCCAGGTATTAGGTACTCTAGAGTACCTAGGTTACTAGGTACTCCAGGTATTAGGTATTCTAGAGTACCTAGGTCACTAGGTACTCCAGGTATTAGGTACTCTAGAGTACCTAGGTTACTAGGTACTCCAGGTATTAGGTACTCTAGAGTACCTAGGTCACTAGGTACTAAGGATATTAGGTACTCTAGAGTACCTAGGTCACTAGTTCCTCCTGGTATTAGGTACTCTAGAGTACCTAGGTCACTAGTTCCTCCTGGTATTAGGTACTCTAGAGTACCTAGGTCACTAGTTCCTCCTGGTATTAGGTACTCTAGAGTACCTAGGTCACTAGGAAAACACTTCGTCACTCGCACTGTTGAAACTTATTTATAATAAACTGTTTTAATTGAAATTATTGATAAAGTTTCATAATTAGTTTATTGTAATAAAATCAATGGTTTTATCATCGGTAGGTAAAGATATTCACCAGATTTTTTCAAATGTTTAATTAATTTTTATATGCAGTTTGAAAGAAATTGTCATTTTAAATAAAATACGAATGTTTAATTCCGTTCGTCTGCAAATGTTCGTTTGATACTGGAAGGAATTCATGATGATAATGATATGTAAACATTTATTTTATTTTTAATAAAGTATCGAATGATATTATAGTCGATTATATGTTCGATTCTAAGAATAATGGCTAATGATATTTGTTATCAAACATATACGTATTTGGTTATAAAGGGAATGCATAATGATAGTCTTTATCAAACATATGTTCGATCATAATTGGAATGCCTGAGGCAATTCCTGAAAAAAATATCAATAGGCATATGCACAGGAATTCGTGTATGGTATTATTTCAGATATAAGGGCAGAGAGGTGAGAGTGAGATAGCCGTTAAGGCGGGCCAGAGATGGCCTCCGATATGCCGGCCATGCCAGACAAGGAGGCAGTAGCATGTCCGCCTCACGCCTCATCGCCGCGCATCTCGTCTCGAGAGGCCTCAGGACATGTGAACATGCCTCAGTGTATACATGCCTCATACCTGCATCATACGTGGCTCATGCGGGCCTCTTATGTGCCTCATACGTGCCTCTTACGTGCCTCTTACGTGCCTCTTACGTTCCTCTTACGTACCTCAAGGTATGCTTCATATGTGCCTCTTACGTGCCTCATACGTGCCTCTTACGTGCCTCTTACGTACCTCAAGGTATGCTTCATATGTGCCTCTTACGTACCTCAAGGTATCCCTCATACGTGTCTCTTACGTGCCTCAAGGTATGCCTCATACGTGTCTCTTACGTGCCTCTTACGTGCCTCTTACGTTCCTCTTACGTACCTCAAGGTATGCTTCATATGTGCCTCTTACGTGCCTCATATGTGCCTCTTACGTGCCTCATATGTGCCTCTTACGTGCCTCACATAACTTCAATGCTTATTTTACACATTTGATATAAATGCTTAACGACAAAAAAAATTCGTTGTTCCCAGAGCCTTGTTTTTGTTGAAAACGCTGTAGTTCGATTTTGAATCGAAATAAATTCGAACTCGAAATATTTTTTATTCTCTGAGAATTTTTTACGGAAAATTTATTGATTAAAGATTATTTTCAGGTACATTCATCAACGATTTGAACTTTTAACGATTGACAAAAATCTGTCATCAACGATCTCCATCATCAACGATCTCCATCATCAACGATCTCCATCATCAACGATCTCCATCATCAACGATCTCCATCATCAACGATCTCCATCATCAACGATCTCCATCATCAACGATCTCCATCATCAACGATCTCCATCATCAACCATCTCCATCACCAACCATCTCCATCATCAACCATCTCCATCATCAACCATCTCCATCATCAACCATCTCCATCATCAACGATCTCCATCATCAACCATCTCCATCATGAACATCACCAGCTTTTGTTTCACTAGGCATTGGAAAAGAAGCCAGATCCTACACACGAGTCACAAGTAGGTAGGCCGAGTATCAAGTTACCGATAACAAGGCCATAAGAGAAGCCTAAATGGTAACCGGAGATACTGAATACCGCAAGGATTATCCGCATTCTTCGCCTCACAAGCAACCGACGTCCGCACAAAAACCGGACGAAAAACTTTACGATTGCGCCTCGTGTCCAGCGTTGCAGACGCTCGAGTTTGGGATCCTAAAGGTAAGTTAGTGAGGTTTAGATTGTCTTATTCGTCTTGGTATTTTATAAATATTCTAATGCGAAGTACTTCAGGATATAAATGTTTTCCTGTTGAATCTTGGCTCAAATTTCAGTGGGAGTCCGATAGCACACATCAACAACGATAGCACACATCAACAACGATAGCACACATCAACAACGATAGCACACATCAACAACGATAGCACACATCAACAACGATAGCACACATCAACATACACATCAGCAACACATCATCTATTATTATATCACAGCATTGATTTAGTATTTTCCATATAAAATAATGAAATCTAGATTGTTGCAAGATATACTGTAGACTAAATAGATAAATTATTGATTATATCTGATAGAAGCTCATCAATTGAAAATTCACAAGAAAATTTATCTGGTGCCAAATAAAATACCATTTCCATATCGTTTCAAGAGACCACCGTGGTTATGACTATGCAACCTGAATATCAGGACAATAAATGTAAATTCACTTTTTTATTAAAGTGGAACTCAAACATTAGTAAAGCCACTGATTTTTTATTCGGAAATCTAAATTCGTATGTAGAATTTAGCAAATGCCAATAAGCTCCTGTAGCTCCTGTAACCTTTAAGTTTAACTGCGAATTTTTAATATATTTTTAGTAGCACAGGATTTTCAGGTTTATTTGTTAAATACTGTATTATTTGTATTAACACGGACACTGCAGTTATATTTGTAAAATATTTGAATTTGCATTAGCAGTTGTACGAATATTAGTGAAGTATTTAGTTATTTGTGTTAATGCGACGATAATTCTAACAAGTTCTTCACCACGACCAAAGCTGCGGCCTACATGACAAAAATAAAAATTCATTAGGACTCTTATGACAATTTTTATTCATTTAAAAGTGTATGTGCGCTAAATTCCATTTGAAGTTAAGAAGATTCACTTAGTGTTCATCATAAATATTTTTTTCGCATTTGCAATTATTATTTGAATAAATTGAACGGATTTTGAGATCACGAATCATCGAATTACGAATTCGATGATTACGAATCATTTACAAATTACTTATATTGCACTATACAGCCTATATCACCAGCGTGCACTGTACAGCCTATATCACCAGCGTGCACTGTACAGCCTATATCACCAGCATGCACTGTACAGCCTATATCACCAGCGTGCACTGTACAGCCTATATCACCAGCGTGCACTGTACAGCCTATATCACCAGCGTGCACTGTACAGCCTATATCACCAGCGTG